GCCAGCCACATGACTGTCAAGCCACTCCCACTCAGTCATGTGGCTGGCAAGCTACTCCCACTTGGTCACATGGCTGGCAAGCCACTCCCACAAAGCAGGCGACATCTACAGAAGAGGTTCTAAAAATTTTTGAAACCCACCACTGCCAGAGAGGGCTCAGCGTGCCACCTGTAGCACACATGCCATAGGTTTGCCATCACGGGCATCGCAGACCCATTTTTTCCTGAAGATGTTAATTGTTGGCAAAAACATCAGGAAAACTGTTTGCTAGACCTTGGTCACTGCCACAGAGAGGGCTCAGCATGCCACCTGTAGCACACATGCCATAGGTTTGCCATCACGGGCATCACAGATCCAATTTTTCCTGAAGATGTTAATTGTTGGCAAAAACATCAGGAAAACTGTTTGCTAGACCTTGAAGTCCAAAGCTGCCCAACAAATTCCAGTGCTCATTCAAGTAAAACAAATGAATGGTTTGGGGCTGTTCTTCCTTTTCCAACCGCAGGTCAATGAGTTCAGGAGGCTCGCTTGGCTGACCTGAGTTCCACCCGTTTGGGGCTCGAAGTCCAAGGTGTAGCCCAAGGGAGGAGCACTGCAGACACCCACTGGGGACACCAATGGGGAAACCCCTGGGAGGGGAAGTTCAGCAAGAGTTCAGCAAAACATGGACCCTCTGCCTTTGCTGGGTTCTCGCTTGGGCATCGTCCCAGCTGGAGAGACCAGCTCTGGCTCCAAGGAAGGATGCAGGTGTGGCCCATGTCCCCTCTGAAAATGCGGGATGGTGGCTTAAAAGCAGGGGATGGACTTCAACTCCCAGAATTCCTCAGACAGCATGATGTCCACCCATCTTTAAGTTGCCAAGTTCATAAAACATTTGACCTAAACGCACCGCGTTGCTCTAGGTCAGTGGCTTTCGAGTGAATCCACTCTTTTCCACGGTCCTTGTAAGGGAGGGGGAAGATCCAAGCCACATCCACCCGCCAATTCTCGAGTCTCACCCCGTTCTGATATTTAGAAGGAAAACCCTGCATTTCCCCCCTTACAACATCTACTCTCACGAAAAAGATCGAAGTCCCTGTATTGGGGCAAACACTGAATTGCATCCTAACGTTGCTGATTTCCGAGTGAAGATAGGAAGGTCGGACACACGACCCCCATCTAAGCAGTGAGCTGATTCCGACGTGCCAATTAGGAAAGGCGCAACGCGAACAGGAGATAATTTTGCCCGTGCTGGATTCCCCAAGCACGAGCGCAAACTCACGCGCGCGTTCTCGCCTTCCCACGACACTCTTGACCCGGACAGAACGCAGGAGGAAGGAGTGGATGTCCCCACCCTTCTCATTTCCCCCCAGCCTCCGCCATATCTTTCTTTATATACTGTACGATATAGGTACTTACGGTATTATGTTAGTAATAGGGTATATGTATACGCTGTATTGTATTTACATACTGTATATACTTAATACTTGTGGTTAATAGGAAGGAAGGAATGAGAGAAAGAAAGAAAGAGGGGGGGAAAGAGAGAGAGAGAGAGAAAGAAAGAA